TTTGGCTCCTCATCAGTCTTCTTCTTCCTCTGATTTGCACCAGTCTTCTCTTGTTTTGGTTCCTCCTTTGGCTCATCATGACCCTTCTTCCTCTGACTCCTACGAGTCTTCTCTCGCCCTGGTTCCTCCTTTGGCTCCTCATGACCCTTCTTCAGCTTTTGGCTAGCCGTCTTCTGTTCTTTTTTCTCATCGGATCTTTTCTTCTTGTCATCTTGCCTGGCAACAGAGATCCTCTCATGAAGTTCATTCAGTTTCTCTGCGCTCATCGATGGGTTGTTCTTCTGTGTGCTTTGGAGTTCGCTCATAGGCAGTGTTGGAGCACTCACCTGGACCAAACACATGATCACTGATATAAGATTAGTGTGACTCAGAATGTTTCTTAATCTGTCAGAATTGATGCGACACCAGATGAACGGACCTTCTCCTGACTATGCGAAGACATCTGTGGGGATACCTGGAGTGGGAAGCTGTCCACAATCAACTCACAAGTTACAGCACAGGAGTTGATGTCTCTCTTGCCACACCGGACCTGGCCAGGTCTGGGAGATGGCGTGGTCGTATATGTCTTGTCCAGCTCTGAGATGCACGCAAAGTCCTTCACCACACACAAACACCCTGACCAACACATGTTGCATGGGCATGTGTGCATGTGCACAAGAAGACGACATCACTGACGACATCCAAACCCACGTCCTTCTCAAACCCATGTTGTGCCAGCAAGGATTCCAACGAGGTACTCATGGCACTAGAGCAATCTAGAGCACAGATTGGTCGGGGCCGGACCAGCTATACTAGGTGACTGTACTGCTGGTTGAGATTCAAGAGATCCACACAGTGGTGAGTCTGAGTGAATTGCAGTTAGCTAGACTCTCTAGACTCTCTCATGTTTCCCCCGCCTTTGTTCATTTCGCGCTGCCACTTCGCGACCTTGTCACCCTTTAAGAACTTGGAAGCTCCATGACCGAACAGACATTCACTGGTTTCGACATCAACGTCCATGTGTGCCACCTCAGACCCAAACATCTATTATGTGTGACACGATGTGACATCTCAGCCCCAAAGGATATTGTCTTTAAGGTCATTTTGGATGTTCCCATCATGATGATCCAACAAAAAATTTCCCATTGCCATGTTCATACTGCAACATGGCTTGGACAATCAGTTGGTGAATGTTTTAAACAACCAATGATCACTCCGAGTAACAAGGAACAGCTTGTAGGGCTGTCCTTCGACGACTCCTTGCACATTACCTTCCCGATCTTTGGAGGCCACAACATAGAGCGATGTTCCTGCTGTTTTGCCAGGCACTTTTGCCTCCAAGTTGTACTGCTGAGTCAATTCGTCCAAGGTCGATGGTTCTTTCCACGGCTCGGTGTCTTCCACTTCCTCGTGGGGCACCACAGCGGTGGAGGTGGGGGCACAGGCGGCCACATTGGCATCGAACCTAGATGCGCAGAGAGCTGGAGGGAATCTCATAATAACTTAATAATAGAACTCTCATAGCAAGCAGTACAGCAAATTAATCAATAAGGGTTTATGTGGAAAAAGAACCAACCATAACCAACCACAAGTCCAACCACACTTTACAGACAGGCTGGGTAGCTTTTTGTCGAACTCCGCAATAAGCTCACGCCACTGTGCACCATTAATAACACACGAACTGTGGAGTTGTCGGACATGTGGAGGAAGAGTGATCTTGTATTTCTCCCAGCCAGTTCCACTGCCAGTTTTAGTCACCGAGACCATTTCGAATCCGAACTCGCTTGGGTCCACACTGTCGGTGAGAGGAGGAGGATCCTTTTCGTATGAGCGAACATCACCCATGCAATGTTTGCCATGCTTCCAATCCTCCAAGGGGTTATTTTCATTTTAAAATTAACGAATCGTCCTATTTTTGATAATTAATCCACCAGTCAGTTCATCCACCCATTCCCATCCTCCAACAACTGGGTGGCGATCACTCGCTCACAGTACTCAGTGCATTGACAGCTTTTGGCAATTGATAGGCTTGCCATGGAGTTCCCATCAGCAGCTGTTGTGCCCCAATACATGCAGGTCTTCTCCAGATAGGCATCGTAAGGGGTGAGATTGCAAACTGCCAAGAAGTTGTTGGGCAGCTCCGTCTTGTTGAGCAATGAAGAAAGAACAGACTTGGGAAAAGAGTCTCCAGCCAGGTATTGTGCGGATTCTTGGACATCGCTGTAACTCCTAGAGGGCCATTAGCTTCAGGGACATTAGCTTCAGGGACAGAGGAATATACAAACACATGAAATCAGTTTTCAGTGAACACTAATTGTTGGAAGGACCCTCGCCTTGTTCCCTCACTGGCGTGTGGCAATGCATCCTTCGTCGCCTCAGGGATGATGTACTGCGCTTCTGACAACCATACGATGTCGTCCCTGGTCGACCTGGATCATGTCAAAGGACGGGCAGACTGATGGGCGGGCAGACCGAAACATATTGACATCATACACACACAAACAAAAGACTTGTGGGATGTGTTGCCAAAGAACCGATCCAAGGCCAATTGACTGTGAGAGAAGATGTTCTCAGCCAGTGTGTCTTCTTGCACAACCAGCCATGCTGGAAACTGAAGCGGCACCTTCTTCTTCAAGGGAGCTGGCGGCATGCGAATGGATAGTGCAGTGGAGAACAACCCCCGAGCGTCGCACTTGTCTTCTATTCGCCTTGGAACTGGTAGTCACTCAGCGCAGACAAGTATTAACAATAAGTTGTGTATTGAAACTTTGAAGTAGGGGTTTGCAAAAACATTGAGCAACTATGATATGAAGAAAAACTTAGCCTGCTGATTTCCAAAGACACCTAACTTCTCCTCTCAGTCCATTCTTCACCTTCTCCGAAGGCAGGATTGGACAAACGATCATCACTGCCGATACCAGTGGCTTCTTTGCCAGTATGCTAGCCGCAACATCAACACACCAGTTCAAATCGCTGTGCGACAGCCTGCCCAGCTTTGAGAAATCAATCCATACCAAGAAGGCTGCCCGATGGCGGTTCATGCGGTCCATGAACTGTCAGGGAGCCAGGATTTAAATGATTAACGCGGCATTAAAACGCAGCAAACTACATGACAACTAGTAACAACAATCTCAAGACTTCAAGACAATCTATCCCCTGGGCCATAGAGGGCGCCTTCTCCACAGCAATTTCCAGCTCACCAGGGTTCCCGCTGACAAAAGAACATCTCTCAGTCATGTAGGAATTCACAATGCTTGCACCTATGGTGTTTTGACCTCGTAGGTGGAGGAGTCGATTGGTTTTGATGGCCCTCTCGGATTTCACCTCTGCATTGTAAAGGCGGCCTAAGTTCGCCACATCTTTGGCTAATTTCATGCTGTCACGGTCCCACGCAGCGGCCCGCGCTGAGGCGTCCAGCTTCGACAGACGGTCATCCACGATGACAAATGCATCGGTTTCCTTCTTTTGTGCTGGCGCGTGATCCAGCCACAGCTGCAAATGGTCAGGCCGTACAGCCGGGTCTTTGAGCAGAATGACATCATCCGCCTCATCGTTGTAATCCCTGGGTGCGATGCCCACAAGTGAAGTCTACAAAATATCAGTCTACAAAATTATACAAAAACCAGCTTGAACTAAACCGTTCTAAGAATAAAGGGTCATTGAAATGCAATCCACAGAACCCCTCAATGATGCGCTTGGTGACAGTATCCAACAAGGCAGCGTTAAAAACACTGGAGCCATCCGAATCCCGCACACTCTTCATCTCTTGCAGCACAAACCCGAAGAAGGTGATGCGATCACACTCCTCTTGCCACTTGTCAAGGCCAAGCCGTACCATGGCAGATTTGCCTGCTCGAGCTGATGCTACTTTGTGCAGGAAAAACACCCGGGAGATAAATAACTGCTGCTTGTCAGCGTCCATGGAGAGAATGGAGTGCCACTTGTCATTCGGAACCTTGGGGACGCCACCGAGGAGCCACCGAGGATCAGCCAAGGTATCACGCGCAAAAGCTGCAAGGGATGGGCAAGTTTAACTCTGACATGACTTATTGTAAAACTGACCAGTATCCCAAACCATTAAGTGACCACAATCACTATTAGATAGTAAGAGAACCTTTTTTTTGTTCCCTCGCCTGACTGCTCGAATCTGAACTGGTGAAGGTGGCGCTCAATCAAAGTCCACACACTGCTATGGACTCCAACCTGGGCACCCCGAATGACTGTCACTGTTTTAGTTTGCTTTGAGTTGGACAACAATCAAATCATACTTTCAACCTAGAAACGTTACACATTTCTCAACCTAGACACTTTGAAGCCAAACAAAGAGATAGCAGTGGCATCATCTATTTGATATCGTTTGTTCGAGACTGCAACTCCGTACCCGTTGTGCTCAGCGATCCCCTCAAGAAAGGCAAGGCGGTATCCAGCTTCACCATCAAACTTCGCAGGTTCCTTCCAGGAAACATGGATTGAATCTCCATGGTCTAGGATATTAAATGTTATATTGTAGTATAATATTAAATATATACTCGATCTTCGAGTAGGTTTCATATCTCCTAGGTTTCACATCTGTCCTCCTTTTGTTTTTTCATCCGCCCGCTTTGCAAAGATCAATGCTTTTTGGATCATTGTCTTCTTGACTCTCTCAGCTTGTTGTTCATGAGATTGCAGTCTCCGCCATTCCAACTCAAAAGAGTGACGGTAGCCTTGAAGGACCGAAGCTGGAATGGTCAGCACTGTTCGCAAGAACCTGTCCGCAGGGATGCTCGGTTGGCTGGGTTGGGAGACATCAAAGGCTTTGGAGACCCAGTGGACAGTGGTCCAAAAGGCGATGGTTTCGCTGGACAGGGCCCCAAAAGGCGATGGTTACCTTCTTGGGGGACGATCATCACAAATTGGATACCCAACAAAACTCATGTTTGGGATAGTATGCATCACCTTTTGTGCTTCAGAAATCTCAATCTTCAAAAGGCGACGGTCCCACTGAAACCATCACCTTTTACATGGTGCTCAATGACAAGGTGTAGAGCAGACTGCATGTACCCTGCCTTCATATCTATTATAAAGATAACACAGACCTAAGGATTCAATGTACAGGCCTCCAGAATCATATGAAACTATATTGCCACACTATGTCAAAAGGCGACGGTCTCATTGGAACCATCACCTTTTGAACTTTAAGAGTTTTGTTGTACAAAAGGCGATGCATACTATGCCAGCGGTCCCTTTCCCACATGCCTAGTGAGATCCTCTTTGACATCATCGCAAGCCAGCTCCTTCTGTAGATGGAAGTACGAATACAGGATCCCAAACCAAATGACAGAGAGTCTGCCCTGCCCCTTCGATACAAAGATCTCTCCGTATTTTCCCTCAACCTTGTCGTTGGCCAAATAGATTTCGAACGGTTCTCGATTCTTTTCAAAGCCAACATTGAACAGGTCAGAGGCGTTGTTGATCCACTGAGGAAACAGCGGGAGCCCGTCCCGGGGCATCTGGTACTGGAAAGACAAAATGGGAAATTCCATGAAGTCTGGAGAGCCAGCCTAAGTTTCCAAGCTATGTGCTCCAGAAAGAAAACATCTCCAAGCTATGTGTTTCATGTCCATACTAACTAGACAATGGACTGCCATGTGTTCCGGGAAGCAGACCATGTCACGTCTGAAGGATGAGGTATATGGGTCCCTGGCATCAGTGCATTGAGCCACGTGTAGATTGCCTCATGGACACCTTTGGATTTGGTAAGCTTCTGCAAGACAAACTTGGCTGGGTGTTGATCTTTGCTGAGGTCGAAGGTCCTTAGACACATTACATGTGGACCCGAGCAGAATGCACCATATGGTATCGTATAGAACAAACATGAACAAACCCTGTCACATTGAACGCAAAGTATATGCAGGCTAACCACTTGCAGCCCTCCATAATGAGCTCAACCCATGGTTTGGAAGCCCGAAGGGCCTTGGGGATCCCTCCTTGGGCACCCCCCTCTCTTCCCCATGAGGCCAGCGTTTCAGCTGATCGACCAGAGGACCCTGTCGGCCGCACGACTAGAGCCACGCAGTACAAAGAGTCTGGACTATTGTGTGTTCAGAAACTGGTTGAAGACGTTTCTAAGTCAAGTTTGTATGTAGCTCAACTTTTTCTTGACCTGGCACGCTCTCCTATAGCCATTATGTCGAATTGTTTGCTGAATATACGAATCAGCCCCAAAATCCAACAACATTCCAAAGACCATCAACTCATGTCCCTCAAACTGTTTATTGTCAATCTAAATGGCGTTCAAACTAATTGGAGTGGAAGGGGCAGTTCAAACTAATTGGCAGCATGGTGCAAGCTCTATTCATGAAATCTCAATTCGCTCCAGAGCCATTGCAGCTCCCATCATGGCCAACCCCATGCAAGGAACAGACATCCCATTACCCGCCATCCTGACTTTGGAGGCATCTGAACAGTTGCTAAAATTTAACATTGGCGCATGGCATTTTGCTGCCTGAGCCTTTGTAACTGGGAGGACGTGGCTGGACAACAACTCATCCGGCGAGAGGCATCGCTGGTGGGCCTGGCGCACACATGGTCGACCGTAGAACAACATAATAGAGTACACAGAAGGGTAGGGTTTGCAACACCTTTCACTTCACCTGGCCTCTGACCACAATGAACCGGTGGAAGTTGTCAGCGTGGGTAGCGAGCCGTCTTTGGTTTCCCCCCTTCCACGGGAATTCTTGGCATACTGAGATAGGTCCATGAACTGCAGCTTGGTGGTCTTCAGGTACTCCTTTCGGTTTCGCTCCTGATTGAACACTTGATACAAGAGATACACTGATACACAGTAGGTAAGGGCTCTGGAACACAGTCAGAATAAAAAACAAATGAACTGTTAAGCTATGGTTCCTGTGCTGCGGAGAGCTTTGTTGGGGGTAGCTTGGCCCAAAAGTACGATCCTGCTGATAGTGCAACTTGCCCCGCTAAACAATCCACCAGCTCTTCTAGTGCGAAGCTGGAGGACCATTGGAAAATGTCTGCTCTGAAGATGATCATGTACAAGCGTGCTCGAGCGCAGCCCAAGCCTAGCACTCGAGGGTCGATTCGGATCGATCTCAGCTGCCAGGGGTGGCCGCTCTTCTGCAGGCAGCGGAGGACCAAAGTCTCGCTGTACTCACAAACGTTCTCCACCAGCAAACATTCATGGGCAGGGGCAACTTGTTCGAAGTACGCCACATGTGTACGCCATGTCGCAACATCACCGTCTCTGCCCCTTTTCCCAAAGGAGCTGAATGAAACACAGACCGGTCCTTACTATCAGACTCAGTTTAGGTGTTTAGCAAGTAAACATGTATTTCTCCAGATCACACATGTCTAAGATCCACACCGGCAGCGTTCACCTTTATACCTGAGGATGTTTGGGGTCCGCATTTACTTGTAAACCCAAACATTTCAGAATATTTCACATAATTGCTTGAAACAAACTTCTGAAGTCAAGCTACGCCCGGGTTTTGCAATGTGAGGGATCTTGCATTCTCGACCATGGGTTGTGCAAAAGGCTTGTTTCCCCTCCACCATGTTCAATGTAAGGATGTCATTGAAGTTACAGTGATGGTAGGTGTTCTTGAGAACATTTTGGCAATCCACATTGATCTCGCACGATGAAGTCAA